TTTTGGCGAGAAATTTGTCGATTTGAGAGCACATATCAGAGTAGTTCCGTCAACTGATAAAGAAGCTACAGCTTTTTTTTAACCAGAAAATAAAAAGGTATTTTATCAAAAGGAAGAATTTATGAAAATGGGAATAATATGCAACTATATGTTGGAAAAGAAATCATTCAACACTGAATAAGTCAGTAGTAATGTCATACTCAGAAAGTAGAATGCTTGTGGCGATCAGCGAAATAGCGGAACAAAAACTACAGAAGTATGGCTCACCATCACCTGCAGCTCATCTAACAGAGTTCGTGTTCGGGCATCAAATTGGCCATGATAATGTGTTTGAGGCATTATTAGTAGCAACTGGTGAACAGTGGCCATCAGGAAGAGTTTGTAAAAAATGAATTTTGAAGTTTGTACATTATATTTTTAATAAATTGCTAACAAAACTGTATACTATAATAAATGAAGTACTTTAAAATTATGATTTCATTTGAAAAGAAAAAGAAAAATGAGTATTTTACAAAGAGAAATCCTTATATTGATACAGTGCAATTATTGAATTATTTATTATTTTTTTAATTAATTTAAAATTAAATAATTTAATTTATTATTATAAATTAAAATTATTGAGAGATCATTTCTGTATCTCTCAATAAGCATTTCTTTCTTCACCAACACAGACACCAACCAAATCTACATTCTTGCTAAGGCCACTGCAGAAGACAAGTCTGATTTCATTTATTATACTAACAGTATAAAATAATATTTATGGCAAAATGTTCTTAAGAAGGATAGATTAAAATTAATTTTTGAAGGATTAACTTTACGCTGATTAAGAAGAGACTTCTGTACATTAATTGAAAAATAAATTTGATTTAATTTACTATAAATAAAAGATCTTAGGCTTCAGCGATTGGCAATAACTTCAGATCTTTATAAATAGTGGACAAAATCCATTAAGCAGAAATAATAATACTTCTCTCAAATGTTAATTAATGACTTTGTCAAAATCATTTTTATCACATGTAATTGAAGGACTAAAATATAAAATTCCATGCTCAACACTGTACACTGTTTGTAAATACTGGTATCATATACAATGCTAATTACATAAAAAAAAAAAAAAAAAAAAAAAAACACATTCTGTCAATAATCCAGATTTTCAGTGTGCTTTTGATTATTTAGAATAAAAATCTGTCAAATTATTAAATATAATCTTGATCTAAAATTGTTCATTAGCAAAGGACTTTCTGTTTAATTATTCTGATTACATACTGAATATTTTCTGGTCTTCTACAATCTTTTTCTTAGACCGATTCAGGAGTGAATATATAATCATTTATATCCTAGAATCAGTTTGAACTCCACACTCTAACAAGATTGCAACTTTCATTACAATCATATAACAGTAAAACGTTTGCTTTTAATCGATGCATACTTTGATTACAGTTTCAATTCCCTAATCCCTCAATAAGAAATGTAATTATATTGCACAATAATAAAAGATTTATGAAAATAAAATTCTTTAACATGCAGAAAATAAAAACCAATAAATTCTAAGAATCTATAATTTACATTGCAAAAACCATTTAAATAGAGTTAATATATATTTGATTTAAAATGTATTTTTCATCAAGTATACATTCGATAAACAATTTTAAAATGCCTTGCGATTTCACATTGCACTTTAAGACATAAATCATCTATATTTAAATAACTGCAGCAAGGGATGAAGACAGACTAGGTAATTATAATACTTCTATAAAGCTCAGTCCCTAAGTTGATACAAACTATAAAACACACTCCCTCAACATCTCGTTGAATGGAGAATTTTCATGAATCTTTGTTGCCAGGAATTTTACATAGTTCATTCCCATAATCTTTTCTTTCTGTTGATTGATTGATCTATGGGAAACACACTGTAAAGTACAATTCCCCCCCCCCCTCCCTAGTGTCAAAAATACTGCAAACAGAAACATATCATTCAAACTAGTTTAGTGAGACTACATTTCTAGCAGAAATTCCTGTTGTGCTTTACATTTACATGTATGACATTACTTTATTAGCTACTGTATATTTCGATGTACGAGCCAAGAATGTTTTAAATATTTTCAAAAGCCAAATTGCCTGGGCCGGCTTATATATGAATTCGCTAATCTCGCAAAAAACGTAGGTATTTTTCTATTAGCCAGGTGCAAGCCATAAATCATAAAATATAATACTTTTTTATTTTTTAAGTTAATTTTAAATGAAATGAAATGAGTTGCTTTATTTTTTAAATTGCTGGTTTGTTGCATCGTTGCCAAAACAAAAAATCTGATGTTGGCAAAACTTGCACCTGGCTAACAGACAATGGCCAAGTGCTGTCTTCTTTTATTTCAGCATCTTTGTTTGCTAATTCAAAACATTTCTTTTCTCCTCTCTCGAACTTCTCATTTATGATGAAATGCCAAGCTGCTATACTGAGTTTTCAGCAAATACAATCACAATTTGAATCACTTACAATTTATGATGAAATGCTAAGCTGCTAAACTGGTGCTAGAGTTTTCAGCAAATACAATTACTTACAATTTGAAATTCGCAGTATAAAAATTTCTCTTTCTGCTCATCTTTCAGACAAAAAATGAAACATACAGATCGTATAAAAGACAACAAACAAAGAACATACCCTGTAAATTCTCTGCAACAAATGGAATGGGGAAATATGCTAACTTCAGACAGGATTAACAAAGTTACAACTATCATCACTGCCATCTGACATTTTACTATACAGGGATTTTGATTGGAAAATATTTCACCTGCTTGGCAACATTTTTGCCCACATGGCAAAATGTTTGCATGTTACAGGACTTCTTTTCATTTCATCTTATATTTGAATTTTGAGTAAGTTTCTGAAGGAAAAACACACTTTTGGCTTAAAGTCAGAAACACATGATATTATGTAACTGGTTGCACATCAAAATAGCAAATTGCATGTATGTTAAAAATAAACATTCTTCATGAAAGATGGAAATAATGAAACTAATTTTTTTTTTTTTTTTTTTTTTTTCTTTATCAAAAAGTCGCCTTTTATCAAAAATATAATCTTAGATAATGGAAGTCAGGCTGAATGGAACTGTTTTCCTACCCACAGTAACAATTGCATAGTTATAGAGGTAAAAAAATAAATGAAGCATATTAAATAATTACTAGTTCTGAGAAAAAAAATCATCTAAGAAAATATACAACACAAAAGAGTCATTAGGTATTAGCAAATGTTATTCTGGAAGACACACTGATAACAATTAATTATTTTTTTTTGCATGGAATGAAAGGTTATTAGCACACTTTTGAAATTTCAATAACTGTGTACTTGTTTCACAGTGCGTATGCTTTTTTTTAAAATGAATTTTTTCCTCTTGAATGATATTATTTATTTACGAGGCAAAGTTTGATTCGATTTAAAAGAATCATTTTCAGAGTATAAATCCTTTTATTAATGATTCACATCTTGTGTAATATAGCCTTCTGCTTTAAATTTAATCCTGCATTATATAAGGGATACTTGAAAAACTTTTATATTGAATATACATAAATAGTCATTTCAATTTCAAGTAGTGACAAAAATTGACTATCCAATATTGTTAGCACATTAATGAAAACATGCACCTCCATACCATCAATACATGAAACAGAAAAATAACTTTTTTCTCTACTTTTTTTAATAATAGAAAAATGTGATAAAAATACACATTGCCAACATCTTCACAAAAGCAACTTTTTTTAATTCTAAATGTCACAATATTTAATAGGGTCGTGCTGGACTATGATATAGAATGACAGCACCATAAGCAGCATTTAAAGGGCATAATTTCAGACTTGCACCATACAGAGGAAATCTACACATCATCCTGATTTTCAAATATTGTTCGAGATTTCTTATAAATTTTAAGGTACATTTCTGTTACTGGGACCTGATTCAGAAATATATGTGCGCATGCATATATGTACATCCTGAATCCAATTCTGATAACTGAAAAGTACCAGTTTTAATACTTTGTAAATACTGATTCCATTTTGGGTGCTACTTTGGTAGACGGTTGCACGGATTTTGGCGATTTTTCTTTTGACGAGTAATACAACTTATGGTAAACCCATTGATGATAATTATTTATGTACCGATCTTTGTTGTCATTTTATTTCAAAAAATGTGTTTTTTGTGCATAAATTCTGTTTTAATATTATTTATGGCTTCTAAATATTAAAAATCACTTTAATTTTGCATTTTATTTGAAATAAAATTTTATTGTTTATCATAGTTTATGAAATTTATATGTTGATGTAACCAAAGACGTCACCTTACTTTAAAAGTAATTGGTTTTTATATGTATAAATTTTAATCTAATGTTTTTAAACATATTTATGCTGTTAAATAAAATACAATTTAATTTTCATTTTTTTAAAAAAAAGATTTTATTATGTAGAATTTTAAATAATTGAAGCTAGGCGTGATGTAATAAGCTTCTCTGTTGTTATTAGAATATTTGCATTAACAAGCTATATCAGCTCCCTGATTGGGTTCTGAAATTTGTGCATTTCCGCGCCGTTTTAAAATTTAATTCATATCTTCAATTCCTTGAAAGATGTCTTCAAAGATTTTTTAAATTATGATTCTGATTTTTTTGTGGGACTTATCAATAAGCAATAGATGGACTAAAAAAAATGTAAGTAAGTAAGCAATAAATGACTAAAAATGTAAGTACATATTTTTCCTTTATTTTATAATTGTATACTTCAATTTTTTGTTGAAAAATTAATACACACTATTTTCAAAAATTGCTGAGATAATTAATTGTCCATGTTTTTAATGTTATTATATTTCTATATAACGTATTTTTAAAGTATTTGAATTATATATTCTAATTCTTAAATGTTGGTATGATGGTTTTTAATTCGATATTCAATTTCAGCAATATTTTAATCTAATTAAACGTAGCCCAATGTTTTATAGCGGTGTTTTTTATTCTCTTTGCTAATGAAAGTAATAGTAACCTTACTTACTATTTTATACTCATAGTAAATGTATTTATTTACCCTTGCTGCCATCTTAAAAAGCGACATTTTCAACAAAAAATTAATCCATTACTTTTAACGATATTTATTTTTTTTTTTAAAGTTTGGAATACTTTACTATGCGTAAAAACAGCGTTTTTCAAGATGGCTGACGTTTGTAAAAATCGCGCCAACGTAAATCGCCAAAAATCCGTGCAACCATCTACCAAAGTAGCACCCCATTTTGTAGACATTTTTCAGTACACAGTGTAATTTTTTTTTTTTTTCAGAGAAGCTATTTATGTGAAATCCTTTGCATGTACCAAATAAAATTCTCATGCTATAAATAATTTAATTCATATTCTTTTCCTATAAATTACATATATGACATCTAAAAATATCTTTTTTCTAAAAATATTAAAAATTCTGAAATGGAAACGTTTAAAAATATATATATTTAATCATCATCAACCAAGCTGCTTGTCTCTGAAGAATCAAAGGAGCGTAAAATAAACTGCCTCCAAATCCATGTAAGTAATGTATATAATAAAATAACAGCACAAGCCACAGAACAACACAATAAAACAATAGTTAAAGCTGAAATTTCACTTTCGTCTGATTTTCCTTTTTTGCAATGATCAAAATTTCCATCTGTATAATTTGGAAGTGAAACACTCCCAATGTTACTCAGTAAATGTGAAGTATCAGAAGAATTTGCAAATCCAATTCTTTTATTCACGCGGTCAAAAATGACATAAAAACCTTTTAAAATAGTAGAACCGACCACAACACCAAAATTGGATTTGCCAATTGCTAATGTAACACAGCTGGCATAATTTTTGAATGTAAGAGGTAATAGATATAGTTCAGGATGTATAACAAGATTAAAAGAACTGTTGGAAGTATGCAGAAAAGATAATGTAAGAACTGGAAACTTCATGATAAAAAATTCTCTCTCATTAGAACATATAACAGAGTCATTCTCCCAAATATAATCTGGATGGTCTTTAATGTGATGTTTAATTTCACTTACAACCCATTTATATGCTACTTCAGGTAGATTCAATTCAGTAGTACCACTGTCAATTATAGACGAACCTTTGTTCAATTCCAAACAAGAGCAAGTAATGTGATTTGTTCCTACCATCATATCAGTTAATACCACTTCATAATACCATTCTTTCACAAGTGGTGTATACACTACATCACAATATTTGTCCGACATGTAACCAATATGAAACTTTCCACAAGCAGTAGATGTTTGCTGCTTACTATGAAAATAAGGCCCACACAGTGCAAGTGCAAAAATATTACTCACATTTTGCACTTCGACTAAAGTATCCATAAAGGAATGAGTGGCTAAGTTTTGATTCGTTAGAGACGGATACGCAAGTCCGAGAACGCCCTGAAACTTGTAATTTACATCCAAAGTTTTATTTACAGAGGATATGCATACGATAATGCAATGTAATGAACAGTTCTGTTCAGCACAAAAACGAATGACATCTGATGCTAAGAAGCCACTCCATAGCCCTTCACTATAATGCAAATCAATTTTATTGGTGAACGTATGTAAGGTTCTTGATTCATTGCTGTGGAAATATTTCGAACTGCCATTTTGAAACGGTACAGCAAGAACGGCAGTGTTACTACTACCTGTATCCACTAATATATTGAGCAGCTGGGATGGCGTTCCAATTTCAACAGCAATGTAATATCCATATCGAGCTTCTCCTCTAACATCTAATTCATAAATTCTTCGGCAGCTGCATCCCAACATCCAAACATATGCGACAGCAAATGAGAGATATAACATATTATACAGTTAAGTCATTCACACAGATTAATCACAAATTACATCACTTCATTTTATAAAATTAAAATGAAAATGTTTAACTTTGTAAAACGTTAGCGAGAACCGAATTACAATTACATCAAAAATTTTAAGGTAAACAAACATATACGTATGGACGAAATAGTCAGAGTCTTTTTTCTTTTAATCAAAGGGAGTTTTTTGAAACAACAACAACAAAAAAAGTACTCTACCTTTGATAACCTTATTTTCTTAATTTTTATAATTAATTTCAAAGCAATATGAAGCGAAGATAAGAATTTCTTTTCAGAAGAATATTTTTAATTTTCTAAAGTGATTTGTCTAAAATGGTCTCTTGAAGTCTTTTCTAAAATGGTTTGTAAGTCAAAAAATACTTTAAACGTTTTCGTTTAAATTTTATTTTATAAACTTTTGATTTCGATAAAATCAAAGAAAATTCTACAGAGGCCATGTAATTTCCAAAAAATTTTTAATTGTGAAAATGAGACACGCTTTCACGTCTTCCGTCGAATCGAAATAGGATTCCAGGTTTTACGACACAGATGCAAAGAATTTGATCAAGGAGCTTCTGAAGAGTATTTCTTTAAGCAAGTTCTTAGGTTCAATGATTTTGAAAAGATTAAGGAGTCTTTTTCGCTCCGTTGTTTTTATATTTATCACTCACGCATGCACGGGAACATATTTACTTTTGAATTTCACGCGATGTAAAGCTTTTATTACACACATTTTAAACACAGAATTATATTCTTTCATAAGTATATTTTTGTTTAATTTTTAGGGATTTACTGAAAAATTTTTTGAAATCAGAACCATGATTTTTAAGCAATATAAATACATTCCACATCGAACCTGGCCACGGGGCTGCTGCTGAAATGGCTCAAGACGTAGCTGACGATGTTTGTGACAGTTGGGAAGATATGATTGAAAATGGGGTAATGATTTAAATGCTTATAAATGTATTGCTGAATCAAGTAGGAAATGAGCCTGGAACACCTGTTTTACCTTACTACTGTCGCTAAGGCATTATTTTCCGTGTATAATTGTTTGCTAAGCCTAACAAGTATTTTATCCGTATATCTGTATAGTTAACATTTACTAATTTATGAAGAAACTATAGCTTTTCAAAATTTTGTCGACTCTGTTGTAAATATTCTAGGAATGATAGTAGCTGGAAATGTGATAATTTCTAATAATACTGTTACCAGTTTAATTTTGCCATGTAAACATTTTGTGAGTAGTGTTTAATTGCGCATGCAACTTTTCAAAGAGTTTTTACAAAAATTTTCTGCCGCTGTCTTTTTGTATTTCGCAGCCTTTTAAAATTTTCATTCGTTTTAAAATTTTGTAATTGTAATGTCATATTCGTATTTCCATCTAAATGAGTGTAATTTAATTGCATGTAACTTCTGCATACCCAAGTACTTGGGTAACATGTGCATACCCAAGTTACATGCAAAAGGTTTTCAGTTAGACTATTGAACATAATCATACCAACTAAGCATAATAAGTAACTAAACTGTACTAATCTATGTTTTAGCAGTGTGTGATGGAAGTAAGACCAAATTTAGCAGAATAGCATGCCTTTAGTAACATACCTCATGATACATCACCAATAGTATATAGCAAATGGCAGTTAAGCATTAACCATTTGCTGAAATGAAATGCTTCTAGAGCTAGCTCTTTCATTCAGTTCTTACGATTATCTTGTATTAGACACTACTTTACAGTATATAGCCCTTGCTTTCTCATATTCGTGCAGTTATTTTGCTGTTATTATCAAGATATTATTTATTATACATATTAATATGTATTTAGAATTATCATTAATGAATAAGTATTAAAAGTATAAAAACAGTTCAAAGCCTAATCAAGTTGCATGCTGAAAGAAGCATTAAGTGGTGGTAGTAATGCAAAATAAATTTAAAAGTAGTATGTTTAAAATTCATTGGATGAATTTGAAATGCATTATTTTTTAATTTAGTTTAAATTTATTTTGCATTAATTATCCTTAATATATACTTATAAAATTTTATCTTAAGAAAGTGATTATTATGAAGAAGCAAATGATATTCTTAGAATTAAAGCATAAAATCATTATTAAACATGAGAAAGGTGTGTATGTGACTTGACCCAGTATTTCTATGATATTGAAGCAGGAGGCAGTAAAGGCTATAGTTTCTAGCCAATGTAGTGCAACAACATCGAAATAATAGATTAAATGAAAAGATTGAGAAGCTGCTGTTGGTGTGGCAGAAGAAAAAACAGCTCAAAGGAGATATCATGATTAAGGCAACCATGTGCAAGAAGGAACAAGTTATATACTAATTTGCTGAAGATGGTCCCAGGCTCTCAAACAATGAATCCTGAAAAGATATTTAAGACAAGTTTTGACTGGTTTGAAAAGTTTAAAATGATGAACTGGAATTCACTCCATCATCAGTCATGGGGAAAGCAACAAGCTCAAGCACAAAGGCAGTAGAAAAGTTTCTCCAAGCTTTTGGAGTATTGACAGAAGTTGAAGGGTACATCCCCTAGCAAGTCTTCAACTATGACAGGACAGGGTTTTCTGGAAAAGTATTGAAGAATAACTTACATAATAGTTGAAAAAACAAAGATGCCAACCCATGAAAGATAGACTCTCGCACTGCATGAAAATTCAGGTAGTGACTGCAGGATAGCTTGTATACAAGAGGTCTTGGTGCTACTTTGGTAGACAGTTGCACAGATTTTTGGCGATTTACGTTGGAGGAATTGTTGGCACGATTTTTACAAACGTCGGCCATCTTGAAAAACGCTGTTTTTACGCATAGTAAAGTATTCGAAACTTAAAAAAAAAAAAAAAAAATATCATTAAAAGTAATGGATTAATTTTTTGTTGAAAATGTCGTTTTTTAAGATGGCAGGCAAGTGTAAATAAATACATTTACTATGAGTATAAAATACTAAAGTAAAGTTATTATTACTTTCATATAGCACAGAAGAAAATAAAAACACCGCTATTAAAACATTGGGCCAATGTTTAATGAGATTAAAATATTACTGAAATTGAATATCGAATTAAAAACCATCATATCAACATTTAAAAGAATTAGAATATTATTAAATTCAGATACTTTAAAATACGTTATATAGAATATAATTAACATTAAAACATATGGACAATAATTATCTCGGCAATTTCTGAAAATAGTGTATTAATTTTTTTTTTAAAAAAAGTGAAGTATACAATTATAAAATAAAAGAAAAATATGTACTTACATTTTTTTGAGTATTTAACCTAATGTTTATTGATAAGTACCACAAAAAAATTCAGAATCATAATTTAGAAAGCATCTTTGAAGACATCTTTGAAGGAATTCGAAGATATGAATTAAATTTTAAAACGGCGCGGAAATGCACAAATTGTCAGTGACCAATCAGGGAGCTGATTACAGCTCGTTAATGCACAAATATTCTATAACCAATCAGAGAGCTTATTACATCACGGCTAGAACTAAAATTATTTAAAAATTCATACATAATAAAATCATTTTTTTAAAAAATGCAAAATTAAATTGTATTTTAATATTTAACAGCCATAAATAATGTTTAAAACAATAGATTAAATTTATACAAATTAAAACAAATTACTTTGAAAGTGAGGTGATGTCATTGATTACATCATCCACAGCATAAAATTTCATAAAATATGATAAACAATAAAATTTTTATTTCAAATAAAAATGCAAAATTAAATTGATTTTTAATATTTAAAAGCCATAAATAATATTTTAAACACAGAATTTATGCACAATAAAACATTATTTTTTAAATAAAATGACAACAAAGTATCGGTTACCATAAATAACTTATCCAGCAATGCGTTTACTATAAGTTGTGTTACTCGCCAAAGGAAAATCGCCAAAATCCGTGTAACCATCTACCAAAGTAGCACCGAGGTCTTAAACTCTTGGTCCCCAAAGCAGTTTCATGTAGCCCGTGAATACATTTCGATCTATATTTGTTGCAAATATATTGCTTATAGTTTTGGAGATGTATTGAGCATATGTGTGTGCCTGCTGTTGAAAGAAAAAAGAATGAATAGTTTTAGGACTGTGGCTTTCCCATTGTATGCTTCTATGTCATGCGTCATGACTTAGAGGAAGGTGGGAGAAATTTGATTGACGAATTTCAAATGATTAATGAAATTCAAATTGCGTTTTTATGTTTTGAAAGTGTGATTTAGGATATATATTAGATTTATATATGGCATTGTTATAATATAGGCATTTTGACACAAAATCGTATTTTTTCTGAAATGACACACCAGTTTTTTCCATATTTCGATTCTACTACTCAAATTATGCCTAAATATTAAATTTTGTGTGAAATTTATGGAGAAATTTAGAACTTTATCTTGGTGCATTTTTTTAAAGTTTGCTGCAAGAATAATTCACTTGGCGAACTTTTTAATTTATAGCAGCCTATTTTCTTCCCCTCTTTTTTCATTGTAGACGAGCAGAAAAAAGTCATTGTTCATACTTTCAAATAATTTTAACAAAGTGTGTAAACCACATAAGGAGTTATTGCCTCTTATAAGATTGTCGAATTTCAAAATATGTCAATATATAAATTCATGTAAATCTTGAAATATTTTGAATGAAAACTAAATTTTGCAGGTTTGCCTAGAAATACATCTACTTTAAGATGTAATAAATTTTATAGGTTATAATTATTTTTCAAAAAATTTTTTAAATTATATAAAATTACAAATTTTAATAAATCGTAATGGGCAAATTTTATTTGGAATGAAGCTAAATTTCGAAATGTGAAAGGAAAAATCAAATAAGTTTAATAATTAAAAAAAAAAAGAGAAATTAAAAATTATATATCAAATTCAATTAACATCAAGGAGCTAAAATTTTGAGAGCTAATTTTTTAAAAACAATATGCACGATTTTTACAATCCTTGGCAGTTTGGCATAATTTACGTTGTAGAATCGAAAAGTCTTATTTTGTGCCAAAATACCTATATTAGAACAGTGTTATATATAAATTTAATACAAAAAATGTCGACATGTGAAAAACGCAAGTTGAATTTCGTCAATTGTCCAGGAGAACGGGAGATATAGAACTGTCTTATTTTTTCTGCGCAGTGTGCAGGTACAGAAATTTAATTTTATAAAACCAGTTTATTTCTACATTTTTTATACATGTGCATTATATTTTATAAAGCTTTTATTAGTGTTACTTTTATACAGTGCAGTGCAACAAAATGAGGCATTTTTTTTTAGGGAGCTGGATTAGATTAATAATATTTAAATGTACTTCAATTAAAAAAAATGTTTGGGGATATGAGTAGATCAGTTTACGAGCTAAGTCATGGAACAAATTAAACTTGTACGCCGAGATACCACTGTAGTTAATCTTTCAGTATTTGCATCAAACTTACGTTGTAAGAACAATATTGTTTTCTGAAAAGCTTTAACATTTTTTCACAAAATATATGTACAACTGTTAAATGTCATCAAGGACTCTTCTTTAATTCTGAATGGATCTTCATGTGTATATATGCAAAGGAATCAACTTATATGATACCTTATTTTTTATGTTTAAATTCGTTTTTTATTCATGCTTCTGATTCTGTATGCTTTTTAAGTGTAGGGGGAATCATAATTTAAGATTTTTTGTATATATTTCAGATTTTGGAGAAGAAACTTGAAGAGCTACAAATGAAATCACCTAAAGTCAATAGGTATGAATAAAGAAAATTCAGAAACTCTAATCATGTATTTGGAGAATTAATAATTTCTGTTAAAAGTTTTTATACCAGGTTATTATCTGAAACATGTTCAGTGTATAAAGATTTTCCAGCCAATTCTCACATTGACTCATAGAGAGTGCTGTGTTGTAAATTAAAGGTAAAAGATGGCATTATGTACAGTTATTTGAGGTATGCGGGAATTATATTGATTTACCTAACAGATGATAGAAATGATGTTCAACATAGTTGTTTCAAACCCCTTAGGTCAGTGGCTGGCAAACTCATTAGTCAAAAGAACCAAAGATTAGCTGTACAATGATTAAGATTTTTTTTAAGAGCCACAGTTTTTTTTTCTTAAGAAGGAGGATTAGTTTTAGGAGTCGTTTTAAGCTAGCTACAGCATTAAATAAAGCTTGATATCATAATATTTTTTGACAGAAAATATGCATTTAATGGGAACAATGACCTTGCATTTCATTGGAAAGTCTATGTCGGGCGTCGGCAACCTATGGCACACAGTGCAATTTTCAGTGGCACTTTACACCATTTTACAAAAGTTATCAACGATAAATCATCCTGCCTGTCCTCTCTGTGCTACCAGAAAAGTTTTGTTGCCAAAATTTCATCACAGTACCTCTTTCTTCATTGGTTACAGGCAATTTAAATCTTTTTTAGAAAAAATGAAAAGCGAATATGTGGATCTACCCCAATACAGCCGTGTCCATTTGCTTAGTTGAGGTAATGTCTTGAATAAGTTTGTGTCATGCATGGAACACATTAAAGTTTTTCTTAACACGTTGAGTGAGGCGCCGAGTTTGCTGTCCTTTCCCTTCACCCAGCAGCAAGCTAAGCCGTATTTTTGTTTAGAATGTTTCAATACGTTTCATTAAAACTAAGTTTGATCACATTTCTTTGAGACTATATTTATTTTTTAACTTTAATACTGTCAGTCCTACGCCAGCCAAATGAAAATTCCGCTCCACAGGGAACGGTGCAGCGCTCAACGTATTAACGAAGTGGAGTAGAATGCAGTATTGCCAGATCATGCGATTTTTCTCAAATTTGCGACTTTTAACAAACTTTTGCTACTAAAATTTTAGTATTTGCGAAATTTTTGCGAGCTCCATCATTTCTGTATACCACTTTTTGTGACTTCAAAGTTTTTTTAATATATCGTAGAATGCTTACATGTTAAAATCAAGTATCAAATAAAAGTAATTTATATTAAAAAAAAGTTTATTAAGGCTTAATCTGGCATTTGGCAATCTGTTTTACATGTGGGCTTTAATTTTTAAGGCTGCACAGCCTGATGTCAGTATAAAGAGAAAGGAATAGGGGAAAAAAGTGAAAATAATAAAAAAAAAACCCTGCTTTTGAACCTCACACCTCCCCCCCTGGTGCATTTTGTTTACCCCGCCCCAGTTCTATGGTGACTCGAACAAAGGAACTTTTAGCTTGGGCGTTATGTATTGGGTACCCAAGCAGAGAAAAAAAAAAAAAAAAAAAAAAAATGAAATTCCTTCTCCTGATTATAATATTGCTAAGAACTAAGCAATGGAAAGGACTTAAAAATCAAAGCAACGTCATTTTTTTAAATAACAACACGTTATTTGAAAAAAGCCCACCAGGCAGAATACTGAAAAACATTCCTTAATTAAAATGTTCATAATTAAGCAAAAAGATTTTTAAAAATGTAAAAATTAACTGCAAACTAAAAAAATTTAGTACAAAAGCGCTAACACTCTAAACGTGAGGAATTTCTTGAATGGATATGCGGAAATGAATTTAAAAATAGAACCTAAATTAAATGAAAATTGATTTTCAAAGAAATGGATATTAAACAATTGAAAATGAGCAATAAAGTTTTAAAATTTTTGTTAGTTAAGATACGTAATTAAAACAACTGAGAATCGAATACGTCTGTAACCTGTAACTTACGGAACCCATAGTGAGTAAATTTATGATGATGCCGGAGGTCATGTGAGCATGTATATCTATGATTTCACAATCACGTAATCTTGGACGTCATTTGTGAATTTTTTTAGTCTTTTGCTACTTTAGTTGGAAAATTTCTGGCAACACTGGTAGAATGAACATTTCCCCGAACTGAACGATAAAGAATAGTTATGCCAGTTAATGATTTTGACTGACATACCTAAATATCTCAATATACCAAGGATTGCAAGGAAAGGGCCAATCAGTGCTTGAATGTTTTGAATATTGGAAAGGCTTTGTTACAAAATTAAATATATTTTCCGTGATATTAATACTAGTATGTATAACTTCTTCCCAAATGTAAAGTGCTTGCTAATAGACCAACAACCTTAGATAAAGGTGAACTTAAGACCTATATTGAAGCACTTAAGGAGGAATTTTCAAAAGATGCAAAGACTTGTATGCCTATATTTTCCTTCTTCATCAAACCAGATTTAATAGGCCTTTAGTAATCTCATCTGATTTGTCAGTTTTTGAGGCATTTAATAATCTCGTCTGATTTGTCAATTTTTGAGTGTTCTGAATTATGGAAAGTAAAATTTATGAAATAGGAATAAGTCTGGAAGATAGCTAACGGTATTTTAAATTGCTGGATGTCAATGCCAGAGAGATTTAATTGTTTGAAGAAAATTGCATGTGTTCTGCATTTGGTTCCTCATATCTATGTGAATAAATCGTTTCTCAAATGAAAAGTATTTTGAGTCTACAAAGAAGTTGTTTAACAGCCGAATATATGTGTAAAAAATTTTACCCCCTGATACTGCAATATCAAGTAAAGTGGTAGAGGGACGAGGTTCGCGTTGAAATAAAAGCTTTTTATTTAAGTATATTGAAGGAATACTTATATTTTATGTAATTTATTTTTTATTTTAATAATATGTTTAAAAGATACATAATACAAGGGCTGTGAAAAGTTTCCGACCTCAATATCTAGATGGGAACTCAAATCAACAGAAGGAGGGGACTTGTTTGGCCACCATTTGATAACTTCCAATCAATATTTCAGCTATTCTAAATGTGAATTTTTTGTTTGACAATTGCTTTCGTGAGGTGATCGTTTTTGCAAAAACTGAAAATATTGAGTATTGTGCTGTCGTTAGATACCTGTTTTTGAAAAGTAATACGTCTACTCAGATTAAAGAAGAGTTGGACACAGTGTGTGGGGTCTCTACACCATCATTTACTACAGGGAAATTTTGGGCAGGTAAAATTTAAACGTGGACGTAGCAGCTTGAATGACTATGAGCATTCAAGACGATAAAAACTGCAACCACTGAAGAAAACGGAACTACTCCGATATGCGCCCTCAAGGCGCCAAATTTCTCGCCAAATATTTTTGGCGAAAAACTCCAAGCTGCCATATTGCTATCTAAATTTTTTGTCTACATTTCGAACTTTAAACCTAAAATGTCTCAAAAAACACGGTTTTCGCGAATGCAAAAACCAAACACACAATTTAAGCTAAAAATCCGAAACAAAAACAAAAACTTTAGATAGCAAAACCGTGAAGTTTCTAACCAAAATTATTTGACAAGAGTCTATGTACACAGCGATATGTTTTAACTTAAAAAAAATCTACGAATGGCACCATCTAGGCAACGAACGAATTTACGAACTACGCACACCTCGCTTTAATAAATTAGCATAACAAAAAAAAAATTTCAAAGATACCATGTACACAGCATTCTGTTTCAACTTTAAAATAAAACATCTCTACGAATTGCATAATTTAGACGGTGACACACTAATCAACAAGAATAACTAAATAATAAATTTTTTGAAATTTATTCAAAAAAAACAACGATAACGACAGAAATTCATACTAAAAAAACAATGAAAAATAACAATTCTACAAAATAAGAACAAGAATAAATAACAAAATGCACTTACCATTAATGCTTTTTCGAACAACAGAAATACCAATTTTATACTGCCTTTAACATACCGCCACGTAATCACTATCGTATTTATATGACAGCCAGACACACTATCCAGAAAATTCATATTCATATTACTTTCAGGAGAAAGTTTAAAATTTAGTATTTATGGAAGAAGTTACATTTTTTTATCTCATTGACTTTCTAAGAAAGAAATTTCACAAAATAAAACTACAAGTCATACTTTGAAAAGTGCCACTGCATTCCATGAGGAAATGAAGACTGATGCAGGTATTGCATTTATATCTTTTCAACATATTCCTGCGATATTTAAGACATTTAAACTGTGGACTACTATGCCTTTGCTCTATTGAAAAGGGTAAGTGCAAATCACCATGATTAATGAACTCTGAAAAGTAATGAAAGAGGAAGGGAAATCAGTACCCCTGGAAATTTCACGAATAGCCTTTCTATCGTGGAAATCGTCATGCAGATCCATTAGAAAAGGCTTATCACATTGAAAACTGAAAAAATATTTTTTTTTTATTTAAACATTAGTTAAAAACCCTGAAATCATTCTAAAATGAGTAAACAGCCTTTGTATTAAAATATTGTTGTGCAATGATTATATCACTAACTGCCATGTAGAATTTATGCCTTAATATATTTATATGTATGTATACTGCCCAGATGGGTAAGTGGTTAGTGACTCTGACTGCCATTTCGAAAGGCCAGAGTTCAAATCCTGGAGAAGGCACGGATGTAAATTGTCTGTCACTTCATAGAAGGCAACGGTGGCCCACTTTTCGTGTCTTTCTATAGTAAAGTGACCTAACACTATGTGTTTAACATTACAACTATAAATCTATCAAAATAGCTGTTTTGTGGTATCAAGTTTGACATTTGACAGAACTGCCATATTTTTGAGTATGTAAGTGACAAACAGCATGCATGTACAATGCATAGTTAGAGAACATATGGATTGTGGATGAACTGTGTTTTAAAGATCATAGCTGAAGCATATTCACCGAATTTTAAAATGAATTAAAAATTTAAATCTTGGTCATAGAGTTTTTCTCCTCATAAAATTTATTTTCCTGCAAAATGTTTCTTTTTATTATTATTTATGAACAGGACGGACAATACCTATAAGCTGTAATAATAACCAAACATGCATTTTTTTTTTTTTTTTTTTTTTTTTTTTTTTTTTTTTGGTCTCTGCAAAAAGTGATAAAACAGAAAATCAACAATACTATGAAAAGTTGCCGTTTTCTTCGTGGTGTTGTGGATAATTAGAATGTTATTTCTGCTTTGTTTGAATAGTACCCATCAGTAGTGCCAGTAATTAAGGTTTTTATCATACTCATTCCCTTTGAAAATCAGCTTCACAAGTGGCCGAGTGGTTAAGACCGCTGAATATCGACAGCTCAACCGCAGGCAAATCGGCTGGGATCATGATTTTCTTGAATTGTTTTCCTCATTAGTAATGTGAATACAAGGCAGTTTTCATTAGCAAATTCATCATGAAGGCACTCCTTTCTTTAGGCAGACAGCCCTCATAAGCTTGGCCACAAACGAAACTGTTGTTCTCTCCATGTGCATAATCTGTTTTTGCTTAAAAAAAAAAAAAAAAAAAAACAGAATTCTGTAAATTCAGCATTGTTCACAGCTTCACATTGCTGGAAACAGTTATTGGGGGGGGGGGGGGGGGGGGGGGGGGGGAGGGGGGGGGGGGGGGGGGGGGGGGACACAGGGGGGGGGGGGGGGGGGAGGGGGGGGGGGGGGGGGGGGGGGGGGGGGGGGGGGGGGGGGGGGGGGGTACATCCCGTTGTATCTTCTGGGGGGGGGGGGTTTTGTGGGTGGGGATGTTGGGGGGGGGGGGGGGGGGGTGGGGGGGGGGGGGGAGGAATTATGTTTTTATATGTCTGAAATAAGTAATTGTCACCCACATCATATCTAATGATGAGGGGGGGGGGGGGTGGGGGGGGGGGGTGGGGGTGGGGGGGGGGGGGGTGGGGGGGGGGGGGGGGGGGGGGGGTGGGGGGGGGTGGGGGGGGGGGGGGGGGGGGGGGGGGGGGGGGGGGGGGGGGGGGGGGGGGGGGGCAGGGGGGGGGATGCAGTTGGGGGGGTGGGGGGGGGGGGGGGGGGTGGGGGTGGGGGGGGGGGGGGGGCTGGGGGGGGGGGGGGGGGGGGGGGGGGGGGGGGGGGGTGGGGGGGGGGGGGGGGGGGGGGGGGGATGGGGTGGGGGGGGGGGGTGGGGGTGGGGGGGTGGGGGGGGGGGGGGGGGGGGGGGGGGGAGGGGGGGGGTGGGGGGGGGGGGGGGGGGGGGGGGGGGGGGGGGGGGGGGGGTGGGTGGGGGGGGGGGGGGGGGGGTGGGGGGGGGGGGGGGGGGGGGGGGGGTGGGGGGGGGGGGGGGGGGGGGGGGGGGGGGGGGGGGGGCGGGGGGGGGGGGGGGGGGGGGGGGTGTTGGGGGGGTGGGGGTGGGGGGGGGGGGGGGGGGGCATTTTCATGAAGGGGGGGGGGGGGGGGGGGGGGGGGGGGGGGGGGGGGGGGGGGGGGGGGGGGGGGAGGGGGGGGGGGGGTTTCAGTTGGGGGTGGGGGGGGGGGGGGGGGGGGGGGGGGGGGGGGGGGGGGGGGGGGGGGGGGGGGGGGGGGGGGGGGGGGGGGGGGGGGGGGGGGGGGTGGGGGGGGGGGGGGGGGGGGGGGGGGGGGGGGGGGGGGGGGGGGGGGGGGGGGGGTGGGGGGGGGGGGGGGGGGGGGGGGGGGGGGGGGGGGGGGGGGGGGGGGGGGGGGGGGGGGGGGGGGGGGGGACATTAAACAGTATCATTTGATGGCTGTTCATGATGTGCATATTTCATGACCAGTTCCCCATTAACAGAAAAATACCGAATTTTTAAAACATCACTTGTGAAAATTTTTTTTTTTGACATTACAAATGGAAAACTAAAGAAAAGAAAGCTAAAAACATAAATTTTCTTATAATTCACTTTGTCTGTTTTATCACTTTTTGTAGCACCATTCAGCATGGAAAGTAATATCTGAATTAGTGTTAAAGATTCAGTTTAGAGATATCTGTGTTATTGGATGTTACATAAATAATGTTTTTATTTATTTCGTGTTTAAAATTATAAGATCTATAGGAAGTTACATTAGTGGAAGCACATTTTTGTCCATAAAATTCTTAGATGAATTTTTAGATAAAGGACCTTGTATCCTCAAACCTCAACTCTTGTATTTCCTCAAAAATTTCGCTGTTGTGCCTTTGCAGTGTGTTTCTCATTTGTACTGACATTTTCTTTGTATGTAATTATTTTTAAAAAATAATTTTGTATTCAATATGTTTTGATTAAGTAACTCTTTAGATATGAGTTTATTTTTTAGTAAGTTATTTATTTTCAAGCTGTCCAGGTTTAATGTAAATTAAGAAAAAGAAAATGTTAACAGAACTTGGGGGGGGGACGTATGTAATTGCCAATAATGCCTTTGTCCTGAGTTGTGTGAATTACTGTAATTTTACTGTAGTCAGTGAAGGTTTGAATAAGAAAGACTTGGAGTTTGTGACTGTCTTCCTTCCACTTCATATGGATGTAGTATTGATACATCCCTGTTGTATCCTTCCGTAATATTCTGAATCCCAAAATAGAATTTGTATTGGATATGGTACATTTATTGTCACTAAATATCTGTTGGGGACACATAGTTCTTGTACTTCTTAATGAGGACATATAGTTTTTATATGTCTGAATAAGTATTGTCACCCAGCATTATCTAATGGAGGAGAAAATAAACAAAACTGAAATTAAGCTTCACAACAAAAAGAAATTGATTTTAAAGCAAGCATGTTAAGCAGACTGATGGCTATAACATGTCAAAAGATGCTACAAGTGCATGCAATGCATAACTTTAATATTTGCAAATCAAATTGAAAAACTCTTAAATTTTTTTTTTTATATTTTTGCCATTCTTCTATTTGTTAAGGCATTGCATCATGACTCATCATGCTGTAAGGAATCTCATAATATACGGGAAAGAAATACATTTAAATATAAATAGATGTATCATTTGGATAATGTATTTCATATATACCAGCTTGTTAAAAATTCATTATTTCAGTACCACATTTTTTCGTTGTTAGAAAACAGGTCCGGAATGCTAGATGATCTGTCTTAAAATACCCTTCTGAGTATACACCTGCAAGCAAAGCTTTCAGCCAATTCATTAAATAATATTTTCAGAGTAGCAAACATAGGGCCGCAAGCATTTTACTTGCTTATATAATTGCTAAAAATTAATGGGTAAAAGTTTATAATTTGGTGGATGCCCCTTGTTTTTTAGCGATTCTTTTTTGACGCCAAGATCGGTGCCAGGAAGGCAGAATTTCAAGATGGCCGCTACATAAAAACAAAATAAAAAGTCAAAGAATTGCATAAACTCTGTGTCCATGTACACATCGATCTGTTTTCACTTAAAAGAACATCCCAGAATTGCACAAATTCTGCTTTAAATTTGTCCATATACATATTAATAATCTATTTTCATTAAAAAAAATCAAGAAGCTAAAACTATCGTGGTAACCAGAAATGAGGTTTCATCGCCAAAATTTAAGAAATATTTATCGCTAATCGAAGGGGCACCCAATTCTACACTAGAGCCGATTAATAATTATAATTGTGGTTTAGTAGGGATTACTAGTCTGTCTGTAATTTAATTTCACATTGGTAGATGATTCCAGAGAAGTTGGAACAGCTTGTATATTTAATTTTTAAAGCATTTTCCCTAGGTTTAGAAATTTTTTGTATATTTTTAGAGCTATTTATGTTTTTGGTATTTTATTTTTTAATGTAGTTTTTCTCTTGCCTCCTAAGAAAGCTTTATTCTTAACTTGAATGTTTTAATTTTCAGCTCTTTTGAAAACCAAAGCATAGAACCAACTTTTTATCCACAAATGCAACTAGAAGACAGTTCTCGTACTCCATATATCCCTCAGGTTAAAATATTGAAACGTCCAAATGATGCAAAAACAATTGGTGTCATCAGTGACAAGTCACCGAGTCGTCAGCCCGTAAAGACACTTAAACAGAGAGAAGCTGAATATGCGGAAGCTCGATTAAGGATATTAGGCTCTGCTCATAGTGAAGAGGAAGAACAAAATGTTAGGTATGTAATTTTTCATAAAATACAGAGTAGAAAGTAAGAACATTGTTTTATTTTAATATTGTTAAGGAAGTTGTTTTGAAAAAGTTCTTATTAGTAAAGTATAGTTTTAAAATTAATGGTTTTAAAAATTCTTTGTATATTTTTGAAGTAAAGTTTTGAAAAATTGATTTAAAAATTGCTATTAAAATTTCTTACAAGATATTTAACTTTCTAGCAGTTTGAATCCAGTTTCTCTTGCTTTATCAGAAAGGAAAATCAATGGAGAAGTTATTGTTATGCGAATGCCTCGTGGACCAGATGGAACAAAAGGTTTTCTTCAACAGCGGTAGCAGTAGGCAATGTACAAATTTAGGTTTTTCAATGGTTGATTATAAATAGACAATGTGTTGGGACATGGAACTTTTACAAACTTATCCCAACCTGCATTAAATTATATTAAAATTTAAGTAGATAAACATCATTATTTATGTTCTCTTGTGGATATGTTCTGTAAATTTATCAAGATACGTGTTGCCTTTCTTGCTGGTAGTGAAAAACATTTCATATTTATAAATAAGCTGTGTACATTTTTATTGGAGTTTTTAATTTTTATTCAATTTCTGGTAATTTCAGGAAATATTATTTTTATGGCCATAAACACCAGTCATTATGCAAATATTTTACTAAGCATAACACTAGACCGCCTACAATACTTTTTATAGTTAAAGTTGCCACTGCATTTTAAGCATCCATTTGTAACTATAAATATATGTATATTTTCATATAAATGGTTGTTGTCCTGATTTGTACTATTAAACTTCCACTGTAATAAAATGTGATAATTTTTTCTAGTGTGGTTCTTATGTCGTACCATACTAGTCCACATGGCTAATATTTTACCATGATCTCTCCAACATTTATATGCCAGACCTATAAAAATGTGTAAATTTTAAAATTACTTTGAATTCATAAAAATAGACTTTTCTATATGTTTCTGTATGAGAATTCAAAATGTTCCTTAATGTTCAGTATATATTTTTTACTGTTTTGAAATCTAATTTGATGATCATATATTGAATTACACTGAATACTAAAAATTGTACATTATTTTCTATAAAAATATTAAATTATTCCTTGTATTTCATTTTTTCAAGTTGTAAAAAGCAAACCTATTATTTTTACTTTTAATTATAGCATGGGAGATATCAAAGTAATTTTAATAAAATTATACATGAGACCAATTGTTTTCTATATGCTGTCTCAGTAGTGTACCAAGAAGTTTTATGTGACATAAAGATGGGGAGTGCAGAATAATTTTAAGGAGAAATAAAAATTGACTTTGTACAGTAGAATTTTCACCGAAATATGTACAAAAGTTGTTAAACTTGTGGTATAAATCTATAAATATAAGTATTAAAATATCTCATATTTATTTCGTACATATGTATATAAAAGGCATATAAATCTGACTATGCAAATCTGCCTTTTAGAAACCTGCAAATATATTTTTCTTTGTACTCACCATTTGAATCTGGTTGTGCAAAATTTGCTGATTTTGAGAGTTTAATGTATTGATTATTTTTTTTATTTATTGAAAAGTAGTCACATTTTTTTTTTTTCATTCCAAAATATCTAATTTGCCACTTGACATCAAGGCAGACTTTAAAATAAATAATAACAAATTTAATTAAAAAAATTTCATTAAATTTCTTTTATGTATGTAGTGTTGAAGATGTAAGAGATGATGTGATAATAGAGAATTTCATTGTCAATGATAAATAACTTTTAAACAGATGAGTAGTTTGCAGGCATAAATTTTATCATTTTCAGTTTTGTAAAATATGAGCATATCAGGACAGTCTCTACCAGTATTCTTAATATAAAAGATTCCAAAATAGTTAATATTTATTCAATGCTTTCACAAATTATTTCCTATCTTATTTAGATTAATTAAGGTATTAAAGAGAGAGACAATCTCCTGAAAGTGGTCAAAATATTGATTTTTTTTTTGTCTGAAATTAATAGTTGCAATCTTTATAAATATTGGAAAAAAGTTGTACCTTTAATGCAACTAAATGTAATAGTTTAAAAGTAGTTAAGGCTTTTTTAGGGTAGAAGTTAATTACCCCTTTAAATGTCTACTTTTGCTAGTGACATAACCTAACAGAATGTCAAAATGATAAAACATGACTGAGGCCTCTGAAAGTGTTCATTTTTGTGAGAACAGAAATAAACATTGCCATTAAATATTATTCCTCTAAGTTCATCTTCACAGAAAGCCACAAACATCTGGATTTCTCAGTGGTTGCCTTAGAAAGGGATCCCTCTATATTATTTCTTGCTGTCAAAATATGCAAAAGAAGTTCTTACTAAATGCAAATAATTCGGAAGTGATATTTTATACAAATGAAAATTGTAACACAGATTTACTGAGTTTTCCTTGTTGCCAACTCATGTTTTTAAAACCTAACAGGATATTTTTGACTACTTTGATTTGCTTGTACTGCTTGGAATTTACACAGGATCAATACTTTTAATCAAAACTTAAAATTTCATTTGTTTTCAATTTATTTTTTGTTGGCAGCCATATATATCAAGGAACGAAAAAGAAATTCAGCAAAAATATTTATATTTAAAAATTAGCAGTGTATTTATAAGAACAATTTTACATTTTGTTTAAAAGGAGAATACTGCTTTTTCAAATTATGTAGTAATGTATTATTAAAAACCAGTTTTCACCATAAAACTGCAAATGTGAAAAAAAGCTAGAAGGATATTGTATCCTCTTTAATAAAACAGTCTTTGCAAGCAGTTAATGCTACTAGATAAGATAATATCTCAAATAATATTTTATAACATTTCCTTGATAAAGGAAAAGTTAATTATATCTGAAACTTAACAAGATCCAGAATTTGTAGTTATGGCTGTAAATTCTGGTGATATTTTGAATCCATGTGGATACTAATGATGCATAAGTATGTCTAAGCATTTCTATTTCATAATATACTTCTAAATTACACATAGTGCTGCAATTTGTTTTTTCACATGCCTAAACTTCAGCGGAGATGTTAATGAAATCTGTATTATTTTTGTCAGACTCACTCATGCTGAATTAATATTGCACCATATTTAGTATTTATTTGAACAGATTAAACTTAAATCAACTTTGAATAATTCTTTGTAACTGTTTCAGGCATGTGTGCCTTAATACCTGGAATTGTTCTTTACTGAACTGACATTGAATATTAAGCTTATGTGAAATAAGGGGTTGGATGTTATTTCATTTTATATATATATATTTAAAAATAAAAATGCTATATTTGATCTAATATTTCAGCATTGCAGCTTTTAGTTTTTCATTGTATATTACTTTACAAAGCATTCCTAGTATAAAGGCCTTGTTATTGAAAATGGATATTGCTTTAAAAATTGATTCAACATCTGTTTTTGTATTCAGACTTGCTAGTATTAATAGGTAATATTTTATAATTAGCTGCAACAATTTTAGGAATTTTGTATACATCATTACTGTATGCAATCACTAAGGGTTAGCTTGGAAGCCAAATAGAAATTTGTGTCAGTTCTCATTGGTGGCAAAAGTTTCCAATCATTGTTTTTAGCTTCATTTTGATTGGTTGAGCTGGGCATATATCATTCCAAAAAATAACATTTTTTATCTTTGAGCAAAATTATGCATGTGGAATAATCTTAATTCCTCAGGACTATATTTCTAGGAGACACTGCATGTTGAGAGTTTTCTTTGTGATAGGAGCCTAATGTTAGCATATGCCAGCAATCGCCTTTTTACTTTCTCTTTATTAAAGTTTGGCTAGAAGTCCCTTTTCTCTTTGAGCATGATGGTTTTCTTGGTATGCAGGTATTCTGGCACAAATGTCACTGACTAGTCACTAATCAAAAGTCAGATTTCTTCCATAATAGAAAAACATTGTGGTAAAACTTTTAAATATAAGAAATACATTTCTGAATTTAGTTGTTTGACTAAACAAAGAACTGAAATAGAAGGATATACTTAGCATTTTACATGACATTTACAAACTCTACTCTAGAAGAGAACAAACCTGTTTAATTTAAAGGTGGCTAATAAGTAACAATGTGTGCTAAGAACAATTTGTATGGGATTTGTTAAGAACTTTTCAAATGGGCATTTCCATGCAAATTGAAACAAATAATAGTGATAATTGATCAAATAGACTTAGTATTAATTTTGATTCCAATTAATTTTCCTGCTAGAAATATCAAATTATCATGTGTATCTTTCTTTACAAAATTGTTTGATGCATTATGTAGTAGATTCGCTGATTATTGTAAAATGTTTTGGGGAAATTTTCTTTCCTGATTAAGCTGGCTATATATTGTCCATATCTCCATTCTCAATAAGTGATGATCTATATGCCACCTTTTGACATTTTAAAGTAATGCTTTTAAATTATTTCATTGAAAGGAAATATTTTTTTCACATTTAAACAAAATTTATAAATCTTTGCTATAGGTATCTTTATAGATTTATTAATATAGAATTTAATGATACTATTCTGTGGTAGCAGTGGTTAGATATATGACTACAATGAGTTAATTTACATTGTTTAAGTAAGGAAATAAGATTCTACATTACAAAACTACAGCATAGTTTTATAGCATGGAAGACCAAATTTCCTGACAGATTTGAAACTGTAAGTTGTGTTTTTCGCAGGAATTCCCATAAAGAAATCAGTCGTAATGGTAAATAGATATTGAACATTGGGAAGTGAAGTATTCTGATAAAATATTAAATTGAGAAAGTTTTTCAAAAGTAATGTTAATTTTCCCTTGCATTTTTTTTGCCTTTGATGTGGAAATGCCGAATTGTATTTATTCACATGTGAAGTACATTAACATGTGACAAGGCTTTGAGCTGTATATTTTAAATATGTATAAAATAATTTGGGGTAGAAACTGGTAGAACAACTGTTGTCTTTATCTTAACACATTGAGCGGAGCGCCCAATTTGCTGTCCTTTCCGTTCAGCCGGCAGCGAGCTAAGCCGTATTTTTGTTTAGAATGTTTCAATAAATTTCATTAAAACTAAATTTGATCACATTTCATTGAGACTGTATTTATTTTTTACCGATGAAGACATCTACAGAGAGTATGGTTCCACAAAAATATTTATGAAATGTGGCTATAAGCACAAATATTTAATGTACAAAACATACAATAAAAATTAAATTATGGTACAAAGATGAAATACCTAAGATTGTTTCACATTTATGAAGTTGCTTTTAGAAATAAATATTCTGAAATATTTCATGTTAAATGAAATGTTCTTCTAAAATAGGTAGGTAAGACTTGAATATGCTTGTACATGAGCTGTATGAGCATAGTCATGTTCCTGATAGTTTAAGCTTACTTAATTTACTTAAAATCCTAAATATGCAGAATATCTTACTTATTTGAAATGCCACTTGTTACGCCTCAGTAATATTATGAATGATAAAATTAAAAGTATGTTATAAGCACTGCATTAATTCCCTAACAGAACTATTTGCAGGTTGTCTTATCTTATAATGTAATAAAGTATTTATTTATTGTACAGTAAGAAAAAGTAATTTTATCAGCTTTTTACTAATTATCTGATGTAGGAATTCGCTGCGACATATTGCATCATATTTATTATTACATATGTTGTAAAATACTTACTATTAAATTTTTCATGTACCACACTTTTCTAATAAATTATTGAAATTTAATTTTCTTTATTCTTTTCCTATATGTGATTTAGATATTAGAGTAGATGACACTTCAGGACAGATATTAACTTTAATTGAAACTATGTTTCAAAGATTTTAGGTCACTCTTTTTTTAGTTTTATCATGATTGTCCATTTGTTTTCAGATTATATATTAACTTCATGTTAAATTTTCTTCATTCCTATATCATTTTAATATTTTTGGATCATTTAAAAGAAAATTCTTAGAAATTATTGTATGGGGTGTTATATATGTGATTTCATCATTAATAATTTTCTATTTAATTAATAGACACAATTATATTGTGTCTCATTTGTATTTATTCACATAGATGTTCATGTTCAGTAAGCTGTGTTATGTTTTGTTAAGTGTGCAGGAGAAGATTGAAAAGTAATGCACAATAACCCCTTTCCAACAATAGTTTAATAATTAAGGAGAAATGTATGCATAATCAACTTACGAATCATAGTTTTACAATACAAGAACCAAAAGCTTTAAGGAAATTTTTTTCAGGGTAGCGCTAGTTTCAGTATATTTTGTTCATAAATGTCTGTTTACCAGGCTTTTGTGGATGTGGTATACTGTATACTTTTTGCATAAAAACTGCTAGTTGAACAATCATTGGACCTTTTTCAGCAGAACTGAAGCAGCAAAATTGTCCTTATGAATTTTTTGAGTTCACATATTTGTGAATTTCTACAAGTCTTATGTTTAACAAACAGAAAAGACTGTTTGCTGTTCAGTTGTAGAAGAAAGTAGTAGAAACGTGTTTGAGCTGTTGTTCTTGCTGCTTCCTTTTACTGTTCCATGGTCTCTTGTTCCTTGGGTCCTTCAAAACTTACCTGTACCTGTAGTGTAGTAATTGCATTATACATTGTGTTATAATTGCATCTTAACAGCCTGCTACTTGCTAACCTGAAAAAAGAAAATTACTTTGTGTTGCTTTTCAATCTTTTGTCGTATTTGCTGTTTCAGCTGTGTGTATTTTTGCATGTAGTCGAGGTTGTGACAATTTTTTGAACTAGTTTTATAACGTATTTTAAAAGTCTTGTTCTGCATATTTTAATATGAATAAGATGTAACCATTTTGTAACTTTAAAACGAGTTTTATTAACCAAAATATAATTTTAGATGTAAAATATTCAGTGTTAGTTTATTTCAGATATTTATTTAATGCTAAAATTATTTCTCTATGTAAATCTGGATGGGGTGATCATCGTAAGTAAAAAATATGTAACTCTTTAATAAGCTGAAACATTATTTCTTGTCATATTCTACTTTACTAGAATTTTTCTTGGAGTTCATTGGTGCACAGTGTTGTAGATATTGCTTTTTATGTTAACTATAATCTTATATTTTTCAGTTTATTAGTATAAGAAATTCCTTTATATATTAAAATTAACATCTTTTTTAAAGTGATGCAGTTTACTTTTGTTTCTAAGTTCTTTTTGTATGTATTTCCCATAAAAACGTTTTTCAGTGAGTTTATGTATATTCCTTTAAAATTTGAAAATTCTATTCCTGTGTGTGTGTGTGTGTATATATATATATACACACACACATACATGTATATATATACACACACATGCCTTTTTATCTTTTTGATAACTTTTTGAGGTATATTTCATACAATATGATTGATGAACTTTACTGTATAAACTAAGTGTTCATTTGTGAAACAAGTTTATCTGTGTGGAGAATTTTATGCAAAAAAAGTGTACTTTTCAGGTTGTTAGTTCTGATATCTGTAGTATAGTATTTTCTTATAAGAGCAAAGGTAACGTCTTCCTTCACTCTTAATATTTAAGCCAAAATCTCGTATAATTGCAAATAATTTTTTCTGTGTTATATCAGATATATAACTTATGTTCTGTAACTTACTACTGTAGAACTCCAGTAGTCCGCCACCATTTAATCCATATAAAAGTCTCTAATCTGGATTTATTTTTGGATGTAAATGAACAAAATTTCATTTTTCAGAAAAGTCGGCATGGTATAATGTAAATTTTTTCTTATGGAATATAAGAAACAGTAATATATTTCATAAAAATATTCTTATGAAATATAATAAATATATGCATATTTTTATATGCATATATATCAACCTTTTAAAAGAAATGTCCTATATTTAAAACATACTTGGATTTGAAACAGTGGATTTATTTTATAATGCAGTATTTTTTGCATGTATGTCAGCATTTTCATTTTGTGTATTTGAATGATATGAATCTCTTGGAAATTTTTTGTTTTAGAGAAATCCCTTCTTTTTGGATATATATTCTGTTTCTTAAAGTTAATTTTGCATTATATGCTTTTGACTTTGGTAATTGTAAAGTTTTTATTTGCCTACAATTTTTCAAACACCAAGTTCCACTTTGAATATGCCTCATAGCTAGATTTTTATATATGAGGAGAAGCTTATATATTGTTTGTATATAACAAGCTACTTTATATATAGGTGTAATGAACAAGCTTGTATATTGATGCCAAATAAGGTCAAGTTATTAAAAAAGGATTTGAGAATTTTTTGGCATTAAAAATGGAAAACTTGATTAAGAAAATGAGGTAAAAATATTAAATCTAAAATTGCAATTGCAGCATGTTTAGAAAATTGCAGTAGGGAATCCAATGTCATCTGCACAGAATATAATGATGAAATTAGTGTAGGAATAAAAAATGTGTTAGAACATTTCTAAAAGTCATTTTAGTAAACAGTATATGCATTTTATTTATTTTGTTTAAGAGTATAAAAAATTGTCTTAACTAATTTTGCAAGTGGGTGCATCAATCAATATTTTTACTAATTTTTATAAGAGTTTCCGCCCTTTAAAATATTTCCATATCATTTATCTCTTCCCCCTCCATTGTTTTCTTACCTTGTATTATTTTCTTTCTATATGACTTTTTAAAAATATATGTCAGTTTTATATTCTTTAAATCTTAACTCGTTTTAATGAAATGAGTGTACATTGGTATTTACTCTTGCAGATAATTCAAATTTTGTGTAAAAATTAGAACAGAAAGCATGTAAACAAAGCTGTGAAAAATATGACAATAATCCCCAAATTTCTTTTTCTACATAGCCCTTAGTCCCAAGGTTGGCGGTTTCTCAGAGTTCTGCTATATAATGTGATATTAATTTTTGAGGAAGTAAAACCATTATAAAGTTGACCCTTCTGCACTTTCTTGTGCAGGTTCAGATCAGGTTATGTTAAAATGTTTTTAGATTAAATATAAAATGTTACATTTATGAACATTTGTCTAAAAAAACTCACTCTGATTACATTTCAGAACAGTTTCCATTAAAATATTTGCTATATGTTAAATGAGCAAGTATTTGAGATTCTTTGGGCAGATATTTCTTTATTTTGAACTTAATTATGTCTGCATGTCTAGTTTTCCCATAACTATTTTCATGATCACTTGCTCGTGCCTGGAATGCAATTACTTATAGATGCTAGCTTACTGTAAATAAAGTAAGTAAGTCAATCATTTTGTTACTGAGTGACAAAACGTTTTGTAAATAACCAAAAATTTGTGTGTTCCATATTTTTTCTACATAAAAGTGCTAGGTAAAAATTTGACAGGTGTATGTTAAAGTTCTATAGTCTGAGAGTTAGTTTTTAAAAGCCTTTTAAAACTTTGTATATTTCTCTTAAAAGAGAAGAGTTAATTTTCATTTGTAACTTGACATAGTAAAATGTCAGTGTGATGTGCATCAGAGTAATTTTTGAAAAGTCTGTCTCTATATAATTCTGCTTTCTGTCAAGTTTTATTGCTATTTGTATATGTGGTTTACTTGTGCAATCAGTATTAAAAAAAATGAAACAATCTTTAAAACTGATTACTTTCTTTTTTGTAATTTCCATTAAATGAATTTTTTTTTCCTCTCTGCATTTTGCTGTGTAATAAAAATTTTAGCTTTGTAGTATAGAAACAAATAACTACATAAATATCTTTCTTGATTTTTTGATTTTAATATTGATAAAACTTGTTCAAAATTTTCATCATATAGTCTGTCAAATGTACAGTCTAGCTAAATTGCAGCATTAAAGTGTAGTAATTTTTTAATGAGTTCTAATGTATTCTTACATAAGTTTTATGACCTTGTATAATTGTATTAAAAAGCAATTATAAGCCTTTATATTTCTGTGTCGAGTAATGGCAGAGGCTGCATTATGAATAATTGTCATAAATTTCAAAATTAAATTTGTATGACACATTTATAAATATATAGAGAGATTCATTGATTATAATATATCTTGAATCACTGTTTTAATAAATCTCGTGTCATGGATTTCATTATGCTGACATTTTACTATTTTCTTTTTTTTTTAATGTTCTAGTCTTTGTAAGTCACGGTTTATTTTGAATTGGTTAGGAGGGCATTGTGTCTCCTTTAACCTTTGAAAGATGAATTTATCTCTAAATACCTCAATTATCTTTAAAATTTGACATTCGTTTAATAATTTTTAATGCTTTGCTGGGTTTAAAAAATCCAAAGACCTCTGTGTTGTACATTCATAAATATATTACTATAAGGTTACGACTGAAATTTTTAACTTGTATAAGCTTATGCTTGTCAGTATGTTTGTGAAAATAAAGTTTTTATCAAATGAGTTGTACGCATTTGGTATTTATTCATCATTAGAATGTATCCACACATATTTACTCTTAATTCATGTTCTGGATTTTAAGGAAGTATTATAATCGCGAAAAATTTCAGGTATCATATTTCAACAAAAATATCCATTTTGACCGATATCATATGCAATTTAACGATGTTTTTCAGTGACATCTGTACGTAAAGGCAGAATTCTTTTACCCACAAAAAATTATAAAACTGATTTAAAATGAATTCTGAAAAGAATTTTTCGTGGCATCTGTGCGTACATACGTAGCCTACATAACTCAAGAATCAGTAGCCTCAGAACATTGAAATTTTGTATGTAGTATTGCTATAACATGTAGATGTGTATCTCATATTTTGGTTGCAATCGGCCATACCTTAAGTATATAAATATATATCCACTCTGTTACTTTGCTCAGTAATCTGTTTCTTTATAATAAATTATTAAGAATAAAGAAACATATTATTGAATTATTATTATTAATTCTGCATTTAAAACTGACATATGTTGTTATTTTCCGTTTAAGGTTTTTATGCCTTTAGTAAATTTGCATGCAATATTTTTAGATTTATCAACAATTCAAAGGTTGTTTAAGTGCCGCTAAGCCTAATTATATTTGCCATGGCGGCCATGTTTGTTTATATTTGAAACAGCAGAATAGTAGATTTGTTTCCAATCTAGAAAAAATAAGCTTTGCAATAGCAAAGATAATGGCTTCTTTTATTATTGCGAATTAAATCATGTGTAATCCATTCTGGAACTTATTCGAGGAAATAAGTGTTTAAGATTTACTTCATAATTTTTCAATACAGTTATTTTGAGTTTTTATGTATTTTTGCCTTGTCACAAAGTGAAAACTGAATTAATTGAAGGAGAAATACTGAATCGTCTATGAAAAACTTTGTTGTTGTTATTTGCTTAATATCTTTTATACATTGTTATAGGTTTATTATAGTATTTGAATAGAACATGTGGCAACGATTATATAATTCTTGACCATATAAATTTTGTGCATTCTGAGTTAAAAAATGAATGAAATATAACGCTGTTAAGCGAACCTAGGGCCAGAATGTCGCTATGGTAAACAAAGATAGTGAATTTTAAAGAGTGCACTTATTCTATTGTGGTTTATGAGCTATCCAATAAGTTTAAATTAAATGCAAGAAAAAAATCATATAATTTAATATTCCTTACAAGGAAGTTGTGGTGTACACATCAGATTTTTTTAAAGCTTAACAGATTGTTATTAAATTGTTAACAGATTAGTGTATTAAATTGTTAGTGATATCATTAAGGGCATTCATTGAAAGATAAGTTATGTCTACAGTGATATCATGTTCTGTTCAATGCAGTAAAAATTGTAATTATATCTCCAACTGACTGAATGTTTCTGATATTGATAGTTCTATTTTTTTTATAAGGATTGAATTAATAGGTTATGGCAAAGCACTCTGGGGCTATCATCCGCTTGAGGAGTGAGATGTCTTCGTGCCAGATTTTCAAAAGGTTGAGTTGATTAAGTTGTACATGAAGAAGAACACAAAAATCCTGTACAGCGTGCCCATTTATTGGGGTTTGAACCCAGGTAGAATTACTAGAATTCAGCTGCTGATGGGCCATTTTTGTGAGAATTACAATTTCAGAAAAGATGACTTGTTGTGTAGTACTGTTCTCTTCATATTTTTAAATGCGTCCAGTAGGCATTCATTTTAAATTGTGATTGTTTTGAATGAATTTTTATTTCCATGCCTTTTTAGTTGTAGATGTGATCAAATATTTGCTGTGCAGTTTGGTCTTAGATTGCTTGGAGCCTTATGCTTAGTGGTTTTAACCTTCCAATAATTGATTTCTTTCAAAATTATTTTAAAGAATTTGATGATTTTTTAGGCCTAAGGTATAGGCTGCTTATGCCTAGGATAAAATGATAAAAAAAAAAAATTCCCTGTTTATGTTATATGTTGAGACTCTGTAAGGTTTTTGCTTATTTACTTGTTACTGTATTAGTTTTTACTAACACTCTATTCCTGTTGCACACCTCAGGATGCAAGTTAATGCATTTGTTCTGGAGTTCAAAAGAGAGCTTTTGGCAGTGATCACTGACTGCTGGAGACTATTTTGTTAATGTATTGTATTTGCAAATTGTTAGGCTGAAGAAATAATAAAAGGTTTATTTTAAATTTGTGTTCAGTGTTACTTCACAGGAACAAGATGGGGTTAAGTTACCTGACGGAGGCAGAGGTATCATTTAAGATAGCTTCTGTATGACATAAGTAAAAGTATTTTATAATGACTTTACAAATGGTATGTTGTGTTCTCTGTTCGATGAATTGCCTGCCTGTCATCACAAAGCCAGAGTTAGCATTTGAGATATATAGGTTCTGTGCATTTTAACTGAAAATATTTTTTAGTAACTTTATAAATGGTACCACATGTCTCTTTTGGAAGTTACTGAGAATATTTGTAGGCAAAATCTTCTGCATGGAGTCGTTTCACTACATTAAGATCAAAATTAATGTGTATTCCTACCGATTTAGTTTTTCTTTCATCCACTGTAGCAGGGTGTCCAAATACTGAGTGTTTTTATATTGCATGCATAGAAACAATATGTGTGATGCATTTGCATAAAGTATGTTGCAGGCCAAATGTGACTGGTTATTAGTTTAGAAATGTCATGTAGAAGCTTCATAGAAGATGTTTCATCGTTTGTTAATGAGTAATAAAAGAAATGAGCAATCTTTTATAGTTAAATCTTTTATAGTATAGTATAACTTTTTAGAAGTTGTTATGGTTTTTAAATTTACCATTAGTTTAAATTATAATTTTGATTCACATATTTTTATTTTACATATATATGTTACGGTGAAACACCGAAATCTGGAGAATGTCGACTTTCACCGGTGAATGTCAACATTCACATAGTCTCTTGGCGTATGTCCGAAATATTTTCCAAATACTCTTATTTCTGACTTACACCGGTCAATGTCGACATTCACCATGTACTAATGGTGAATGTTGAACATATAACAATATTATATTTTCTTCTCCATAATTTAGTCGCGAATAAACGCACTTGAGACTTGAAGTAAGAACATAAGAACCTAAAACACACAATACATTCAAAATGAGAAAGGAAAATAATAGAAGTTAAAAACTTGCTTAATTATACAGTATGTTCTAAATGAGAAAATAAAATAACAGTAATAAAAAACTTACTAAATTATGTGATTCAAATGTTATTTATTGCAACAACTTAAACTATTATGGCACTTTATGACCTCTCTTTTCGACTTTCACCCAGAGCATATCTGGATTGTCGACATACACGGTGAGGGTCCGAATATACAAGAATGTAGTGAAATATTCGGTCTTTCACCGACATATTTGGTGAATGTTGATATTCTCCGGTGAAAGTCGACATTCTCCAATTTCGGTGTTTCACGATAACATATATATATATATATACTTAAGTTAATAGTACACCTGAACTATCAATTAGCATTAAACCTCGGATACTGAATTTGCACTGTAAGACACTGTATACCCAACCCATTGTGATTTATCAATGGTCACTAAAATGTCCTTGTTTAGTAATTCCGCATGCACCAGGCATTCTCTGACACAGCAATTGCTTGACGTAGTCATTATATGTTAATTGCAATGGAAGACATTGAACATTCTCACACTTATACATGCCCGATATAGAAAATGGAGAGAGTTCTTACAAGTCAATAAAATTATTTCATACGCAGAAGCCAAAGAATTCGACAGATCTCTCAAGCCACGACGAAAACTTATCCCAGTTTTGCTAGATCAACTCAAATTGTACCTGCACAGATTACAGAAAGTATGTACAAATATCAAAGCAAAAAAAAATTATGAGATATCTGGATATAAGAGATCTTTGGTGCGGATATGAGTAAAGAACTTATATCCGCACCAAAGAAGGTGGGACAATTAAAAAAAAAAAAACAGCTAAGAATTCTAGGAGTCCTAGCAGTAGCTTTACACGTCTTATACTCTGAATCGTTAGACTTTGATAGTATAAAAGTAGGACAGGGACTGGATGTTCCAAAGTATCTGCTTCTCCGCATATTCAAGAAGCATCGACGAAATAAGCATTTTGATGACTCATCTTCTAGAATTTCGGATTGCATCATGGTCTTTATAACACCAAGAGCTGTTCAAAGTTCAAACTAAATAGTTTTCTTTTACGATCAGTACGTTTTCTGAAATTGCATAGCTACTTAGTGCATAGGATGGGAAATATTAATAATAGTGTGTTAGAAGGTATAGCTATTTTTGCTTCACTGGAGTATCTAATAAATGTAATTCCACTCTCTTCAAACTGCTGCGATACAAATAAACGTTAAAACGTCAATGATGGTACTCTTTTTTTTTTTTTTTTTTGTGTACCTTCTGCAAATAAAAAAACTGATCAGCGACACTTAAGGCAGCCGTCTGTTTTCTGCTTTTAGTGACTATAATCCTCTAGGGAAGTAGTTCCATTAACTCATGCGGAATAGCAAGGCCAAATAATAGATAATTATTGATTTTGTGTCTTTCATAACAGCTAGGAAACTTACTTCCATCAGCCAAATGAGGATGCTTCATGTATTCACTGGAAGCGTTCCTTTAAAATTGTGATCATTTCCCTGCAGGAGAGAGTATATATCCTGTTTTATCAGATTTCTATTCGAGCAAGCCACTTGGGATCTCTTTTCTGCTTATGCTGCGATCTCAGCAGAAATGGTGAACATTGGTACAAGCCGTTATTGATGAAATAATTCAGGCAGCTCTATTTTAAAAGCATCGACTAGGTTAAGAAAATGTTAAAAATCATGGTAAACTGCAAAGCAGAGAAAAGAGAAAGAAAGGAGGAATGCTTTGCATCCGACTTTGTTAGACCTTAACCCTAAGAAAGATCAAAAAGCAAATGCAAGAAAAGTAAAAAGCATTTCACATATTCAAAACATTTCGGAAGAACAACT